ATCTCAGCTCCAGCTCCCTCTGCCAGCTGGAAACCCTTCCCCCTGCTCCCATCCCTCCCTGCCCTTGTCCCAAGCCCCTCCCCAGCTTTCCTGGAGCCCCTTCAGGCACTGGAAGCTGCTCTAAGGTCTCCCTGGAGCCTTCTCTTCTCCAGGCTCAACACCCCAACTCTCCCAGCCTGTCCCCAGAGCAGAGCTGCTTCTCCAGCCCTGGGATCACTGCTGTTCCTCTCCTGCTTGGCTTTGCAGAGGCCCCACCATTACTCCATCTTTGAGCAAGCCAGCATCGTGGAGGGGCTGGTGCGTCACCTCGGCCTCCAGCACCAGAGGATCAACCTCCTGTCCCACGACTATGGGGATACAGTTGCCCAGGAGCTGCTGCACAGGTCACTGCAACCACTGCTGTCCCCTTCCAAGATGATTCCCAGCAGAGCAGTGGAAGGACGTGGTGCAGAACCCCCTTTTTTGACTTGTACCTAGAGTGGGAATGAAGGGCTGGGGGGTCTCAGGGCACCTCCGTGGTGGGCAGATCTGAGGTTGCCATCCTGGCTGGTAGGATGTTTGACTTCCCTCCTGAAGCTCCTTTATTGAACTGAGGAGGGGGGGGAGTGGGCAGAGATGACTGAATTGGACCTGCTGGTTGGTCAACTTCTTGGAAGCCTAGAGGAGGCTTCTCACCTTCTTCTCTTGTGTCCCCAGGTATGAGCACAACAGAACTGGAAGCATCTTGATCAACAGCCTGTGTTTGTCCAACGGAGGTGAGGTTTGCCTGGCGTGCTGGGATGAGAGGGCTGGGCTGGGATGTCCTTCCCCCCTCTCCATCACCACCCAACCCCCAAAACAAACTGCAGTTAAGCTGCTTAATTAACCAGGGTGGGGGGTGAGCCCTGGAGCTGCCCCTGCTGCTCCTCGTGGCCCCGTGAAGAAGGGGAGGGTCTGGGAGGTGTGAAAGGTGAAAGACTCAGGTGGTGTCACGACTCCTGTTTTTCTGACATCCTTCCAGGGATCTTCCCCGAAACCCACTATCCCCGCCTCATCCAGAAGGTGAGCAGCTTCCTCTGCCTCCTGCCAACCCACCCCTCCAGGAGTCTTGCACCTGGGGAAGAACAACCCCATGGACCAGGACAGGTTGGGGGCTGAGCTGCTGGAGAGCAGGGCAGGAGAAAGGGACCTGGGGGTCCTGGTGGGCAGGAGGATGAGCATGAGCAGCAATGTGCCCTTTGTGGCCAAGAAGGCCAA